TAATACTTTTTTCTGACTAATTAGTGCTTTTCTTCTAACTAATTAGAGCTTTTTTTCTAATTAATTAATGCCTTTTTTCTGACTAATTATCGCTTTTTTTTCTAATTAATTAATGCTTTCTTTCTAACTAATTAAAGCTTTTTTTCTAATTAATTAATGCTTTTTTCTGACTAATTGGTGCTTTTTTTCTTCTAAATTTTTTCCAATTTTTTTTCTTTCTAATTTTTTCTTCCAATTTTCTTGTTAAAATATACTACTATTATTATTGTTGCTATAATAGACACATTACTTACTATTACTATTAAAATATGTACTACTAATAGTAACATTCATTACTTACTAATAGATACATTAATTACTCCAACATTATTATTTACTATTATTAGAATACACTACTATTACTACTAATAATAAATGAAATTATATCAGAAACGTGGAAACGTGGAAAACGTGTAAAATTTTAAAATAGGTTAAAACAAAAAGAATGAACAAACGAAACGTGAATAACATAAATAATGGAACTACGTCAGAAACGTGTAAAGACGTAATGGAAATATGTAATGATGATAAACAAAAATTGCTAATACCAATATGTGATAATATGAATCAAACACATCGTAATCCATGTTCATTTGCTATATTTAATTGTAAACAAATAAATTTACATAATTATCATTCAAGAATTTTGGTACATATTGGTCCATGCAATTTACAATCACCAATTTTTACATTTGATGAAGAAGTAAGATTATTTATTTATTACTCTTAAATATTTTAATCATATCATTTTTAGCAAAAAAAAAAAAAAAAAAAGTGTTTTCATCATATTATTTTGGAAAAAAAATATTTTCAAATTTCAAAGTTTAATTTTTAAGAAATTTCTAAAAAAGTATTTGAAATCTTCTAGTTTGTGTAGTTTGGAAAAGTTTTTTTTTTTATAAAAGTTTTCGAATTTTATTTACATTACATTTAATTGTTCTTATAAATAACAATCTTTTTTAAGTTGATTTTTTTTCCTGAAGTAATATATCACTGAGATTAAAAAAGAAAAAAGAAGTTAGAAGTGAAACACAAATGTTGTTGTTATAATAAAAATGCAAAATATCTCAGTATTTATTCGAGCAAATACCGTTGATACATTTTCTTTTCCGATCATTTCACTAATTGATTGTCATCATTAACAAGAAATCCTTCATTTAAAATTAATTCCAATATATTTATATTCGAAAATCATATCAATGATAATGATATGTCATAATTAAAAAGTACCTTAAATAATTGATTAACCGTTCGATCGATCGATTGTTGCTGATGAATTTGATTAATTGAAATTATTATACATTAATTAATGAGCTGCTATTAAATCTTTAAATATGAGATATAATTTCAGCTTATTATTTTTTTTTAATCAAAATTTATTGACTGTTAAATATTGGAAATTTTATGAATGTGATAAATTTTAAAATTTCCTTTTAACCTATTTAAGCAATAAATTAGTTCGAAAATATTTCATGCAAAAAATTGTCGCATGTATTTTAGGTTTGTCCCACAAAGTGTTCACAAAAAATTAAACCTGTATGTGACACTAAACAAAAAACATATCGAAATTTGTGCACCTTTCAGAAGTACAATTGCTTGGAGAGAAAAAAAGTAAGCTAAAAAATGATTAATAGCTTGAAAATATAAGCTTTTAATTTTAAAACTTAGATTGTTTGTAATTGTCAACTATTTTATGATAGTTTCTATCAAATACTAATTTATCTACTAATAGTCAATTTATCTATTAGCACTTATATTTAATTAATTGTTAATGTAATTCACAAAAAAAAAACAAATTAAATTTCAAATCAAACTTTTCCCATATTATTAACTGACATTTATGCAATTTATTGAAATAATTTGTTGTCACAAATTCATTAATTATAATTGTCATCCTAATAATTATTAGTTAAAAATTTAAAAAATTAAAATAAAAATTAATTTCTTAATTTATCTATTAACTAATTTATCTATTAATAGTCAATTAACCAATAATTATTAGGATTATTTTAATTTTTAAATAATGTTTCTTAAATAATGATTAAAATTTCTTAAACGATGATTAAAATTTTGATTGAATTTTTTTTTCAAAATTGAAATTTTGATTTTATTATTTTTAAATGATTAAAATTTTTTAAGGATGAAACTAATGCTTCTTTCTTGTATACATTGATGGCTTGCAATCAATCGTCAATGAATGCATTCGTTAATGAGCAAAATGAAAAACCTATGAACAATGTATGATTTTTTATTTTTATTTGAAAAATTCCATTTTAAGCATCAAAGAATTTAATTTAATTCAATCATTCATTAATTAAAAAGAATTAATTATTTATTAATGAAAACGAATCGATGAAAAAGTTTTTATGATAGCATAATTAATTAATTAATTGATTGATTTTAATATTTATATATTTTTACTGGTATAATTTATCAAATATCATTAGATTAGAAATTTTATTAAATAAAATTTATTTCAATTTTATCTTTTAGGATGAAATTGTTTGTCTAAAGCCTAGAATTTGTAATAATATACGACAGCCAATATGTGATAGCAATGGTCATTGGCATCGGTTTGTGAACTTTTTTTTTTCTAATTAAAATTTTTTTTATATTAAATTTTATTTTGTATTATTTTTAGAAATCAATGTACCTTTTTGCATGCACAATGTATTGCTGCACAACGTGGACAAACGTTATCATTGGCTGATGAAAAATGGTGCTCTATTAATGACGGTAAAAAAGAAGCTAAAAAAGGTCAAAAATCAAAAGGTCATTCTCGATCAAATATTTTTTCAATATTACAATTAATCATCTTTTAATTGTTTATCATTGAAAAATGGAAAAGTAATAAAATTCTAATAATAAATTATATTTGAATTTTAAATCACCGGTTATGATTGAAATTGCAATTCTTTGTAGAATATATGACTTTTTCTCTTTTCTCTTTTTTTTTGTTTACGTAAAAATTTCACGTAAGATTCTGTTTCAGCGTCACGTCATTGTTATCGCCAATGTTCGGCGAATCTTACATATGAACCGATATGTGCAACAACTTTTGTAACATATCCAAATCGTTGCTTATTTTTAAATGCCAAATGTCGTGATAAACAATTGGAACAATTATATTCTGGTTAATTTAATTTAAAATATTATTTATATTACATGCTAAAACAAATTTAATTTATGTTATTTGAATATTTTGTAAAGAAAAAAAATGTTAGAAACGAGAAAAAAAACGATAGTTATATGCATAAATTTCTTTTTTCCTATCAGTATTATTAGTAATTTTATTTAGTAACATCTGAATACTTAAATATCTAAATACATAAATACCCAAGTATTTGAATATCTTGATAATTAAATACTTAAGCTTAAACTTATGGTTAATACTGAAATATCTGACTACTTAAACATTTAAATACTTATGGTTAATACTTGAATACCTAAAAAATATTTGAATATCCAAATATTGAGACAGTACTCATAATACCTAAATACTCAAACACTTAAATACTCAAACATATATTCAACACTTAAGCATTAAATGCCTAAATAATACCTAAATATTTGAATTTACTTGAATTGTCAATATCTAAATACCTAAATAGTATTAAATTCGTTTTTTTTTCTCTTTTCTGCTAATCTTTAATTTCTTTTTTCCTTTTATTGACTTTTACTAATTGTTAATTTCATGTTTTCTCTTTCGTACTTTTTTTTTTGCTTTTTTCGTTTTCAAATTAATTAATTAATTAACCAATTAATTGATTAATCAATATAATATTATTCAGGTGAATGTCGAAATTGTTTGGCATTAAATTGCAATGAGACGACAGGGATGAATGAATTAGATTCAAATTTTGTATGTGATCAAGCTGGAAATACGAAAAGAAAATGTGAATTTGAAATGTTACGATGTATTTATGAACGAAAATTTGGTTACAATATTACCGCCGCATATGTTAATTCTTTATCTTTCCTGTTTTTTTTTTTCCTACCTATCATTCTAAATATATTGATTGATTGGTTGATCAACTAATTGATTGATTAATTGATTAATTAACTAATTGATTGATTAATTGATTAATCAAATCAACTAATTGATTGATTGATTTGGTTGAAAATTTTTAAGCAATAAAATTAGATACAAGGAAAGCGGGAAAAACGATTAAAAAAAAAAAGAATATTTAAGCAATTATTAATTTATGAAATAAAAAATTTTGCTTAATTTAATAATTTGTTAAGATATTTGTTGAAAAAAAAAAGAAAAAAAACAAATTTTGAACAATTATTAACTTTTCATGTAATTATTGGATTTTTTGAATGATAAATTTTGTCTATCTAATATTTTTCTCAAAAAATTGTTTGCTTTTTTTTTTTTAATTACTGATTTTATAGTAATTATAACTAAAATTTTATTATCATTATTCGTTAAATTTATTTTGTATGCTTTAATATTTTATATGTAATTTGGAACGATGAAATAACTGTTAAAATTTTTACTAAATTTTAATTCAATTAATTAAATAACATTTTTGAAGGGAAAAAAAGAGGTACAGAATAAATAAATATGATAATTTTTCAGATGGGACGTTGTTGTCCAACTGAAGATACATGTGAGCAATCATTTGATGATAAGAAACAATTGAAATTTGAGGGACCAGTTTGTGATTCACACAATGTCACTTATTCAAGTCGTTGTCTTTTTGAGGTTATTTAATTAGTTAATTTGTTAATTTATTAAAATGATTAAAATTTTTTTATAATTAATAAAATAAATTTATCGATGAAATGAATTGTTTTGTTTTTTTAATGATTATTAATAATTTATATTTTAAAATTTCATAAAAATTTGTAAATATTTTTTATAATTGATTACAATATTAATATTTTATAGGTGCATAAATGTCGAGCTGAAAAAATTGCACACCTTAAGTTAACATTATTAAATGAAAATGGTAGTTGTTCTGCAACATCTGCCGTAAATATTGAAAAATTACCACAAGGTATTGTTGTAATTATCATTAACATATCAGCTATTTATCTTTGTTATCATTAATGTATCAGCAAATTTATCCCTATTATCATTAACATATCAGCTATTTATCTTTGTTATCATTAATGTATCAGCAAATTTATCCCTATTATCATTAACATATCAGCTATTTATCTTTGTTATCATTAATGTATCAGCAAATTTATCCCTATTATCAT